CGCCTACTGACGAAAGCCTCCAAGTGTGAGTTTTTACAGGACAGACTGGAGTTTTTAGGCCACATTATCTCAGCTGATGGCGTGGAAATAGACTCGAAGAAGATCGCGACAATTCAAGCCTGGCACGCGCCGACAAATCTGACGGAGCTACAGAGCTTTTTGGGGTTCGTCAACTACGTGCGCCGGTTCGTCCCCGACATGGCGCAGTTGAGTACTCCATCAACCGACATGCTGAGGAAGGGGGTCGAGTACACGTGGGGGGAGAAAGAGCAAGCTGCCTTCTCGGCCCTCAAGAAATGTTTTGTGCTCGCCGCCCGTGCTTCACATCGCAGATCCGCACCGACCGTTCGAGCTCGTCACTGACGCTAGCGACATCGCTGTGGGAGCGGTGCTGTTGCGGCCTCCAGCCAATCGCGTACGAGTCCCGCAAGCTTCACCCGCCCGAACGCAACTACCCGATACACGACCGCGAGATGCTGGCGATCGTGCACACGTTAAAAGTGTGGCGCTGTTACCTCACGGGAGCAGACGTGACTGTACGGACAGACCACCGATCCCTACAGTACCTTCGCGCCCAACCACACCTCAACCCACGACAGATCCGCTGGTTGGACTATCTGGAGTCCAACTTCCACTACACCGTCACGTACAAAAAAGGTGCATCCAACAACGCCGACGCACTCACCCCCCCTACCGCCCAACTCCACGCAATCCTACTCGCCTAGACCAACCCACTGCTGACAGGACTATTCACTCACGGATGCCGCACCGACCCATTTTTCACAACTGGGAATTCACAGCAACTGACAGAAGCAAGAGGAGTCTATTACGTTAAGACCGGTACCAACCGCATTTGGGTCCCCGCGTATTCACTACTGAGGGAACTGCTACTGCAGGTGGCACACGACGGGATTACCTAGGGACATTTTGGGGTAGAGAAAACGCGACAACAGCTGCAGCGGTGTTACTACTGGCCGGAGCTGTTGACCGACGTACAGCACCACGTGGGCTCGTGCCCCACGTGTCAGGTGATGAAAAGCTCGAGGAAGCGGAAGGCGGGTCAGTTGCAGCCGATCCCACCACCCGAGCGCGCATGGCAACAGGTTACCATGGACTTCGTCACAGGGTTACCTTCAAACCCTGGGGGTAACGACGCAGTAATGGTTGTCGTTGACAGACTGACAAAAATGGCTCACTTCGCTGCGTGCAAGAAGTCGATCTCAGCCAAGGAGACCACTCGCTTGTTCATCGCAACCGTCATTCGCCTGCACGGGATACCAGCTGCGATCATCAGCGACCGCGACACGAAGTTTACAAGTAACTTCTGGCTGAACCTCTGGGAGCAGTTCGGAACACGGCCACAGTTCAGCTCGTCGTACCACCCCGAGACCGACGGTCAAACGGAGCGGACGAATCAGACGATGGAGCAGTTGATTCGTGCCACGTGCGACGATTCAACAACGTGGGAGCAGCAGCTGCCGCTGATAGAGTTCGCGTACAATAACGCCATGCCCGCGACGATGTAGCAGTCCCCGTTTTACCTGAACTACGGGCACCACCCAACAATACCCATGACGCCGAATCCGGACAATCCCACGCCACGTGCTCAACAGTTCGCTGAAATTCTGCAAGCTGCCCGAACCAGAGCCGCAGACGCTATCAAGAAAGCCAACGTCATTGCTAAGCGCAACGCTGACCGCCACCGCCGCCCAGTCACGTACAAGTCCGGTGATTATGTCCTGCTCGAGACACAGAACTTACGACTGCCCGACGTACCGAAACTCCGACCCCGCTACTGTGGACCTTTCCAAATCAGCCACATGATCACGATAGTGACCGCCCACCTACTGTTGCCGACCGACTGGTACATCAGCCCATCATTCCACGTCAGCTTACTTCGCCCGTACATCCCAACCACCAGCCAACTGCCACGTCATCGCCCACCATCCATGACTCGCCCGGCATCGGAGCCAATCATCGAACCCGACAAGATTCTCAGCCATCAGGTTCGGCACCCCACATGCATCAAGAAGATCGAATTCCTCATCCGTTTGAAGGACCGCACGCCAACAGAAGACAGTTGGGTGCCCCTGGCCAACATCGAAAACCACCCTGCCCTGCAAGTGTACCTGAGAAGCCAGGGCTTCCGTGATATACACGCACTCATATGGTATATATGGTATATTTTAGTGTAAGAGTTTTTTTAATTAGACAAGTTGAGTGTTTCCATGGGCGTTTTAACATCACATGTTGAGGCGCGAATGTGAGTTTCCACATGAACGTCATCACCCCCTCGAAAATGCCATGTGGCACCTGTTTGGCCACTTGCAGCAGGCCCCACGATATCGGGGCAAAACATTCTGATTACCCTGATTTTATGATGCAGTTTTGAATTTGCCCCGTAATTTCAGAATGGTGTTATTCTTTACCCTGTGATCTCAGGATGTTGTAAACAATATGCCCTGGAAATTCAGGATGGCTGTAGTGTTTTTCCCTGTAGCGTCAGGATGAATGTCGAGGCCTGCCCTGACACGTTTTTAGAGAGGGGGAGGGGAGAGGTGGGGGGAAGGAAGGAGGGGGTTCCCTTCCTGGGAATTTTCTCCCCGGAAAAACTCTCCCCTGCGGATTTTCTTCCCCTAGTATTATTCCCGCCCTCGCACGATGCCTTGACACATCCGAACGTCCGTAACGCACCAATCAAACCCTTCAGGTTCCTCGCTGGTCTAGTTTGGGAGCAGGTAGGGCAAGGCAACCCTATCGTCCTGAGCGAGGCATTCACTGGTAGGTCTGCGTCTCTCTGATGCTGAGCCTCTGTTCCAGGCCTTGCTAAAAGTGCTACCCTCAACATCCGTTTATTTGCCCTGACCGGTCAGGATTAATTTCTGTTGAAGCCCTGAAACTACAGGATGCCTTTGAAAATTTGCCTTGACAAATCAGGGCGTTTTTTAAGATTTTGACGGGTTTCCCTGAGGCCTCAGGATGCCCCAAAACCTAGCACAGGCCCTGACTTGCAGCGTGGCAATAGTGAAATAGTTGGCGGGGTGAAATGTCGGCAGATTCGAAGTGAAAGAACATCGAAATCTCATCGAGGGAGGGATTTTCGTGATATCCTCCCATACTTGCACCCACTCGTTAACAAATATAATAAAGAATCAGTAAGAAAAGGGGGGTGTTATAAAAAATCATCCAAAAAGGGGGGTATAGTAGAAACGAGGTCGCCCATAGCACCCACCCCGCACAAGCTACCCGGGGGTGTACAATCATGGGGGGGGGGGGGGGGGGGGGGGGGGGGGGGGGGGGGTTTGTCTGGGAGAATACGGTACTCACTGACTTGACATGGGTTAGGAACGCGCCCTCAAGCACAACAATGTAACTTCTCTGCGAATCAATTCCTTGTCAGTTCTACCCTAACCTGATCCACATCTGCAGTGTCATGCACGAGGCATTGGCACCAGCTGGCACACAGCGGTCAGCAAAAATCCGAGTGAGATGCAGGCAGCCCAAGTGGCAAGGGACGGGGTGCGTGATGCAGGCGGGTGGCACCGCAGGAGTGCCGCTATGCTGCATGCACCACTGCCAGGAGTAGTCGTATTGCTCTGGCGTGTGGTGATGGGGTGCGGAAACAGGGAGAGGAGATCTGGGGGAGGAGTGGATAGAGGAGGAGAGATTCCGAGGAGGAAAGGAGAGAAGGACACGTGGGGCAGATCAAGAGCGGGGTTCATGTAGGTAGCACGTGGGTGACGGTACCATCTGCAGACGCTCCCTGCCTCCCTCCACCACCATCCCTGCGACTTGTTGAAGCGCTATTGCTGCGAACACTGCCATGCTCACTGCCATGCTCACTGCCATTCACTGCCATGCTCACTGCCATGCTCACGGCCATTCACTGCCATGCTCACTGCCATGCTCACTGCCATTCACTATCATGCTCACTGCCATGCTCACTGCCATTCACTGCCATGCTCACTGCCATGCCATGCTCACTGTCATGGCCAGTCACTGCCATCTTTACTGCAGCTGACACTCTCCAGACACACTCACTGCTGGCCTTGCTGCAGGACGCTGAGTCGAGGGTGCCCAAGTCGGATGAGGAGGCGCAGCCCTTGAGGCAAGCCGCCGTGCAGGGCATGGTGCTGCTGCCGTGGTAGTGGTAGGACGTCGCCTTGCCACCCCTGCCATCGCCCACGTGCCCCCCACACTCGTCCAGCCCTGCTGCCAGTGCTTCCCCCCCTCCCCGCGGGTCATGCAGCAGAATGCCGTCCACGGGAGGGGAGGGGAGGGGGGGGGAAGGGGGAGGCACGGGAGAAGGGAGGGATGAATGGCATGCTATATAGAACACGCATTTGAAGCATGGATGGCTGTGGTAGGCCCAGAGGTTGCGTGGGTATGGAAAAATGGGGGGAAATTGGGGAACGCACTTGTAGAGGTTGAAGTTGGTGGAGCGAGATGAGGACATGGCAGAGGGTTCAGCGACACCGGGTACAACGTGGTAGTGGTACTGGCTGGAGGGCGTGGGGTGCCCCCCACATGCGTCCAACGTGGCGCCATCATACTGCAAGGCGTCTCTTCACAAGGCATCACATGCACTGCGAGCAGAAGAGGGAGATATGGCGGTGGGGGGTGAGAGCAGCAGAGTGATGCACGGGGAACGGCGGTGCTGGCGTGAGGTGGGAATAATGCAAAGCTACGAGAGCACTGGGAGCAGGAAAGCAGGAAAGCAGCATCTGGGGGCATGGGCATGAGAGCGCATGAGCAGCCTGTGGGAAAGGATATGCTTAAAAAAAAAAAGAAATGGAGTAGTAGGCAAAGCTCCAAGTCATTGTGATGCCTGTGCATTCCCCACCATGTTGTGAGCCCACAGACCTTTCTTCCATGCCCTCCTGCACCACACCCCCACCTTGCCAACCCCCCTCCTGCACGTTCTCTCTTACCCCACCCCTCCCACCCCATCCCTTCCCGACCTGTAAAAGGGCACGCCGATGAGGGCAACGGGGATGGCAATGAGCGGCACAGCCAAGGGAATGGGTGAGAGGACAAGGGAAAGACGGCAGGGGAAGCAAGGCAGGGAGAACAGCAGACGGGATATACAGGGAGGTGGAAAGGAGGAAAGGGGCTCTGAAGGATAGATGGAAAGGAAATGCATGAGGGGAAGAGATGAGCGGACTTACTTGAGCGAGCCTGTGTCAAACTATAATGATGCTTGTTGTGTGTAGGCTGTAGTGGGTAGCGCGTAAGGGGTATAACCCAAATTAGGGTTAGTACTTGTACCCACATTTCTGTTCAATGCATCATTCCTGCTGCTAGTTTCTAACATGGTTTCAGAGCAAGTCCTGCTCGAGGACTGTTCTCGTTAGGGCCCACCCGATCGTACCCTGCCCGTAGCGCTGCCGCACCCGTCGCGCTGCCTTGCCCTGCCTTGCCCCGCGTAGCGCTGCCCGCGCTCGCTCCGCTCTGCCTGCGTCGCGCTGCCTGCACACGCCCTGCCTGCGTCGCGCCCCACCCGCGCACGCCTCTGCCCCGCGTCGCACTGCCCGCGCGCGCCCGGTCCTGAGCCGCGCCGCCCCGCGCACGCGCTGCCCTACGCGTCGCGCAGCCCGCGCACGCCCTGCCCGCGTCGCGCAGACAGCGTCCGCCCTGCACTACCTGTCGCGCGGCCCGCGCACGCCCTGCCCGCCGCCGCGTCGCCCTCACCTGCCATCTCCCGCGTCGCGCCGCCTCGCGCACGCCCTGCTCTGCCCACGCGTAGCCCTACTGACAGCGTGCGGCCTACTTTACTACCCACGCACTGTCCTACCAGCCGCGTGCCGCCTCTGCCTGCCCACGAGCTGCCCTGTGCAGACCCGCGCGCCGCCTCGCTTGCAGCGCCCCGCTCCTACTTGCCTGCGCGCCGTCCCTCTGCAACCCACGTGCCGCCTTTGCCTGCCCGCGTGCCTCCTCTTGCAGCCCGTGCGCTAACATTTCTGCCCCCGCACTCCCCCTCTCCCCCCTCCACCGCTCTTCCTCGCTCCAGGTCCCCCTCCGGTAGACCCCCTCCCCCCTCAGGGTCCTGCTCCTTCAGGTGTGTCTCAGGTAGACCCACTTCCCTTGGCTGAGCCTGTCGAGGTCACTGGTGACTCTGGTGCTGCTGGGGGTGGTGCTGCTCGGGGTGCTGCGTCTGGGGGTGCTGAGCCTGCGGGTGCGGAGCCTGGGGGTGCTGAGCATGGGGGTGCGGAGCCTGGGGGTGCTGAGCCTAGGGGTGCTGCGTCTGGGGGTGCTGAGCCTAAGGGTGTTGCGTCTGGGGTTGCTGATCTTGCAGGTGCTGAGTCTGGGGGTCCTGTGCCTAGTGGTGCTGCGTCTGCTGGAGGTCCTCAGAGTGCCACGCCGCAGCAGTCTGGCCAGCGAGAGCCTCTCTCACCTCAGTAGCTGCGCGAGTGGTTTGCTCGGCGCACCCCTACACCTTAGGAGTCGCGCCGCTGGAGCTGGAGGTGCTGGAGCTGGAGGCACTGGAGCTGGAGGTGCTGGAGCTGGAGGCACTGGAGTTGGTGACACTGGAGCTGGAGATGCTGGAGCAGAAGGCGCTGGCACTGGAGGCGCTGGAGGCGCTGGCACTGGAGGCGCTGGCACTTGAGGTGCTGGAGCTGGAGCTTGTGGCACTGTGTGAGGATCTGGTTCAGGAAAGATGATTCTATTGAATGATTCACCTGGGTACAAGGCGAGGCTATATATAGGCTCGACACAAAGGCAGTAACTCGGGTGTTACTAGAAGGTTCCGCGGGTCGCGAAGCGTCCCGAACGGGTCCTTCCCGAATTCGGTAGAAGGCAATTCGGTGGCAACCGAAAAGCCTAGAATTCGGTGCACTCAACCTAGTTCGGTGCCTAAAACTATAATAATATAGTAAAAGCAACGAACCTAGGAAATCAAGCAAAAGCATGCAAGATAAAAAAAATCTAAGCTAGTAAAAACATAATAAAGTCCAGGCAAGCTAGCAAAGCCAGCATAAGCCGTCGTACTCTCACACGTCCCCCCCTCAAAACTGGGTGGCGTGAGAAACACCCTGCTTGACAAGATAGTCCTTGAGAGCACGGCGTGCGTTGCCCATATCAGCTTCTGCAACCCAACTGTCCTCCGATGGGTCATATCCCCTCCAGCGTATCAGGAACTCGAGCGTGTTGCCGCGTCTGCGTCGATGAGCGAGAACTTTTTCCACCTCGTACTCTGGTTCATCCTGTATGAGAACAGGTGATGGTGGCGTCCTTGGAACTGTTGGTTGGGGTCCTTGTAGGGCTTTTGTAGCTGAACATGGAAAGCGTTGTAAAGCTTCCACGTAGTAGGTAAGCGCAAGCGGAATGTTACTGGTGTCACCTGTGCCTCAATGCGAAAAGGACCACAGAAGCGAGGCCGGAGCTTGGACGGTAGGTGAGACAGGTTGTGCGTGTCAAGAAGCACCTGATCTCCCATTGCTACTGGGTGATCACGTCGCTGGCGAACGGCATACTTCTTCTAGGAGTTCTGCATCGTGGTGAGACGTCGCTGAGTCTTCTCCCATAGCTGCTGCATGGTGGTGACGAAGTCGTGTGCGGCTTGGACGTGTGCTGGTGTGGTTGGCTGCTGTGGTGTAAGTGGTTCCCGTCCGTAGCACAGGAAGAATGGAGATTTCCCTGTGGCCGCATGCGACGCGTTATTGTAAGCGAACTCAAGTGTCGGTAACTGTGAATCCCAGTGGCTGACGTCGTCTTTGCAAGCTGTGTGCAGTAACTGTTCAACCACCTGATTGAGTCGCTCTGTCTGTCTGTCAGTCTGGGGGTGGTACGCTGAAGACATCGCAAGCTTTGTCCCCAACAATCCCATGAGTTCCCTCCAGAACTTACTAGTGAACTTAGGGTCTCTGTCCGAGATAAGTGTAGCGGGGATGTCGTGGATGGTGATGATGCGGTCAAAGAAGAGGCGAGCAGTTGCTTCAGCAGTAGCCGTGGCGTTGGTCGGGATGAAGTGTCCCATTTTAGAGAACTTATCGATCACCACGAGTATAGCGTCATGCCCTCGTGAGGTCGAAGAAAGCCCAGTAATGAAGTCTAGGCTGACAACTTGCCATGGCTGCTCCGGGACGGGTAGAGGCTGAAATGACCCTGATTTTTTCTGCTTGCTACTCTTCATCTGCTGGCACGTGTCGCATGAAGTGACGAACTGCTGCACGTCTGTTGCCATCCGGGGCCAGTAGTAATACTTTGCTATTCCCGCTAACGTCTTGTTGCTCCCAAAATGTCCCGCGTATGCCACATCGTGAAATTCCTCCAGTAAGATCTGTCGGAGCGGGGCATAGTTCGGTACCCAAATCTTTCCTGATCCCTTTCTTACAGCTAGGTCCTTCTCCCACTGTAATAGCTTATGTTTCTCTGCTGTAGCGATCTCGCCGTCCACGGAGTACCCATGTTGGAATAGACCCTTGAGCAGAGGGTTCATCCCGTCGAGTTGGATGCCTGCTACATGACCGGGGCGGCTCAACGCGTTAGCTTTGTTGTGTAGCCCGGGCTTGTAGACGATGTCGTAGTGGAAGTGGGTCTCCAAGAAGTCCACCCACCGCACCTGTCGTCGTGAGAGCGTCGGCTGCGACTTCAGGTACTTAAGACTGCAGTGGTCAGTGTAGACTGTGGTCTTGGCTCCCTCTAGGTAACACCTCCACGCCTTGAAGGCTGTGACTATCGCTAAGGCTTCCTTGTCATGGATAGGGTAGTTCAGTTCTGCTCCGTGTAGCTTCTTACTCAGATAGGCGATGGGCTGCAAACCGCGTCCGTGATCCTGCATCAGTACTGCTCCGACTGCTTGGTCACTAGCGTCTGCTTCCACCACGTAGTCTTTGTCTGGATTCGGTAGGATGAGTACTGGCGCTGTAGTTAGTGTTGTCTGTAGTTGCTCCATGGCTTGCTGATGAGGAGTATCCCCTGTATCCGTCCACCTTCGCAGCTTCACATGTTTTCCGTCGTTGTAGATGCACGCCTTCCAGTTGATCCAGTCGATCTCGGGGTTGAACCGCTTCAGAAAATCACGCCCCAAGATGAAATCTAATCCCTTGATGTTCGTGATCGGCAACGTCGGCTTCAACCTTAACGCTCCTATCTGCAGCTGCAGTGTTGACTCGCCGTGGATGGAAAGCTTCGTACTGTCCACTATCGTTGCTGTAAACTGGGTCTCTTCTGAGGATTCTTCAATTTTCTCCAACGTCCCGCGGTCGCACACCGAGTGGGACGCACCACTGTCCACCAGTGTCTGGAGGCGTCGCCCGTTGCAGATCACCTCGAGTACTAGTGGCTGTTGCTGCTCCGAGTAGCCGTAGATGGTATCGCTTATAGGATCGTAGGGTACGTCGAATATGTCATCCCTAGGTCCTGCGCTCGAAGATGCAGCTTCAATATCAGGTATCACCTGAGTAGGGTTAGAAGGATTTATCCGAGGCTGGTACAGCTTCTCTTGAGCCTGGAACCTTCCCCTAGGCCTTTGCAGCTGTGTAGGCTTCATCTGTGGGGAACAGGGAGCCTTTAAACAGAGCTGCTGGGAGAGAATATTAACTCCTCGGAACGCTCGACCCTTGTTAGCGCTCCAGAGTAAGGTCCCCATATTACCCTGTACTGGTTTAATTTCTGACTCTCCCTTAATAAAGGCTTGAAACCCACGAGAAGTAATATTCTTACTTGTCGGGGTGTACGGCTGGAGTTTCCCAGTCGGTGCAGGGTCTTGTTTCGCGGAGTCTCCATTTGTCTCGGCGATTTCCCCTGGTGCCGGCTGGTCGTGACGTTTTAAATTCGCGCCATCATTTTCTCCTTTTTCCCCCCTCTCCGAAGTTGCCACATTGTCCGTTTTCTGCTTCGCGGGTGCCGCACTGTTCTTGTCTCTCAGCTCCGCGCGCCTTCCCTTCATTTTCCAACACGCCAAGATACGATGTCCTGTAGCGCCGCAAAATTTGTACGTCTCAGTTTTTGCTAGCCGCTGCTCCACATCGCCCTCGTCGTTCTCCATCGGTTCAGCAGTCGTGGGTGGTGCCAATCGCCCCATGCCACTAGTTGGCTTGTTGCGTCGTGTTCCGTAGTAGCTACTGTTCAACGTGTCGAACTGTTCGATCAGTGCTGCCCGAAACTGCGCCCACGTCCCTTCGCCTTGGACTATTCTGTTGTTGATCCACTCTAGAGCTGGGCCTTGTAACAGTGTTGCTGCGAGCCGTATGCGCATTGCGTCTTCTGTCGGGGTCGTGCATCCAACGGCTTCGAAGTAAATTTCGAGTTCAGCTACAAATCGACGAACGTCGTTCCCTTTAACTATGAAATCGAACGCCTCCGGTAGCGTCCGCTTCACTGCTTGGAGGTTAACTGTAGCTGCTGCCGTTGTCGCAGGTAGAATTGTCGGTGTCGCCGCTGCTGCTGCTGCTGCTGTCGCTGCTGCTGTGGCGGTTGCCGACTGGTTCGCAAGGAGTTTCTCGAGTCGTGGGAGCGCCGCACGTATCTGCTTATGCTCGGCACGTAACTCCGCGATTTTCTGTACTGAAATATCTCTTTTTCCCTCCATTTGGCGATTTACAGAAAGAAGCGCGGCGAAAAGAATCAATTTATGGTGGCTGGCCGACTTACTGCGAGTCGAATTGACTGTAGAATCAACGAGCACAAATTCTGTAAGTCGCGTGAATCTCCCTTAGTTTAAATTCGCGCTCGATCTCGGCCGTTGAGAAGAAACTCGATCCGACGCTCCAAATTCCAACTTTTTTGGGCGAAATTCTCTGGGCCGTTGAGATGAAACTCGATCGAACGGTCGAAACTCCAACCTTTCCACCAGAAAATCTGAGGGGTGTTCGAAAACCGAATCGAGGGGGACTTAGAAAAATTGCGCGGAACTGGTTTTACATACCCGTATCGGCGCCTTCGTCGTCGCCCCCGCGGTTTTTAAAGGCCGGAACTACGCGGTTGAAGACCTCGCGTGTAAACCCGCTCTGATTACAAAGTTTGAGGATCTGGTTCAGGAAAGATGATTCTATTGAATGATTCACCTGGGTACAAGGCGAGGCTGTATATAGGCTCGACACAAAGACAGTAACCCGGGTGTTACTAGAAGGTCCGCGAACGGGTCCTTCCCGAATTCGGTAGAAGGCAATTCGGTGGCAACCGAAAAGCCTAGAATTCGGTGCACTCAACCTAGTTCGGTGCCTAAAACTATAATAATATAGTAAAAGCAACGAACCTAGGAAATCAAGCAAAAGCATGCAAGATAAAATAAAGCTAAGCTAGTAATAACATAATAAAGTCCAGGCAAGCTAGCAAAGCCAGCATAAGCCGTCGTACTCTCACACACTGGAGCTGAGGGCGTTGGAGCTGGAGGTGCTGGAGTTACTGGAGCTGGAGGCCCTGGTGCTGGAGCTGGAGACGCTGCAGCTGGAGGCGCT